CTCACAAAAAATATCCATCATAAAGGAAAAAATTAATAATTCTACTACTTTAAAATTAGGAACTTTTATTCATCAAAAGATTCTAGAAAAAGAGTGAAAAGCCAAGCCACACAGCAAAAGATATCTGAAACACAAGTATAGTAACTACAATATATTTTTAAAAAACCCATCTAATCAGTAAGAGAAAAATTAACAAATCAATAGAAAAATAAGCCAAAGACATGAACAGGAATCTACAAAAGAAAAGTTCTAAACAGCCAATAAATATAAAAAAAAAAAAATCCCAAACTCATTAGTAATCAAGGAATGGAAATAAAATTCCAATGACAGATACAAACCCACTAGATTCGCAAAACTTTTAAAATCTGCACTCAAGGATGTGGTGCAAACAAATTCTCATATACTATTGATAGGGGTGTACATGGGTACAACTACTTTGGAACACAGCTTGACATTATCTAGTAAAATCAAGGATACACATATCTTCTGACCTGGCACTTTTATTCTTAGATAGATATCCCAGGGAACCTCATGCTCAGGTATAGGAGTAAACATGTCAAGTGACATTTATCGCATCATTATTTTTAACAGCCAAATTAGAAATGACCCAAATTTTAACTAAGAATGTACTGAAAGTTAATAACCAAGAGTTAATTTTGGTATATTCAAACAATGGAATTCTTGCAAAAATGAATGAACTAGAGCTACCAATATGGACGACTCTCACAAATATAATAATGAATGAAACGAGCATGACACAAAAAAATACATACAATATGATGTCACTCACCTAAATTCTAAAATGGGCAAAATTAAACAATATTTTCTGAAATGTATACATAGGTCATAAGATATATTCATAGGGTGTTTCTGGAGTCCTGTCAATGTTCTGTTTCTTGTCATGGGTGGTTATTCATCAAACTATACATATGTTTAATGCACTTTCCTGTAAATTTCACTACAAATTCTTTAAAAATCATGTGGCTGATTTTTTAAATGTTAGCAATACTCCCTAAATGAAAATTCTGTAAATAATTAGGATTCCCCTAATGCTCCCTGTAAGGACCCAGAGCAAATTTGGAACCTGATGTTTGTATTCTCCTTTCAACTAAAGAAGTTTAAGTTGGCCCAGTGTGGTAGAACAAGAAGTGAAGAAGAGATGGCAATCCATATAAAAAATTAGACTAAGAGATACCAAAATTATTAAATGAGTCTGGCATCAATTAGAGATCAAAGGGATTATTCTATGTCTAAAGTATTAAATATGTTAATCTAATTTTTAAATTAAGTAATTTCTTGGGCATGCCTTAAAATTATCCAGCAAGGAAGAGAAAAGTTACCCAGCAATGGCTATACCTGTAGCTGAAAGAGGCAAGGGAGAATGGGAGGTGAGGAAGTATAGATAATTCACGGCTATCAAGGAGAGCAGAGTAACAGAATGGAAAATGTAACATCAAGAACAACTTTTTTTTCATATGGAAGACATTACACTATGTAGTTGAGGTGGTAGTACAAGAATAAGTTAGTTGAAAAGTTAAAAAGTAGCTCTCAGGGCACCTGGATGTCTCAGCTGGTTGGGAGTCCAATACTTGGTTTTGGCTCAGGTCATGATCTGGTGGTGGCGGGATCGAGCCCAGCCCTATTTGGGCTGCAGACTCAGGAGGGAGTCTGCTTGAGATTCTCCCTCTCCCTCTGCTCCTCTCCCTGCTCACATGCTCTGCCTCTCTCTCTCTAAAATAAATAAATAACCCATTAGAAAAAAAGTAGCTGTCAAAGAGAGTGAATGTTTGAAACAGATTTGGGGCTGGTTAATTACAAGGTTTATGTATCACCTAGGGGAGTGAATAAGTGAAGGAATTTGGAGGAGAAAGATCATTTGAAATGAGGTTAAGGAATTGAGAATTAAGATGTATTACTTCTTTTAAGATTTTATTTATTTGTCAGAGAGAGAGCGAGAGTGCACACATAAGAGGGGGGAGTGGCAGGCAGAGCAGGCAGAGGGAGAAGCAGGCTCCCCATTGAGCAAGGAGCCCAATGCAGGACTCGATCCCAGGATCCTGGGATCATGACCTGAGCTGAAGGCAGACACTTAACCGACTGAGCCACCCAGGCGTCCCAAGATATATTATTGTAAGGATGCAGAAGTCACCAACAATGGTGACAGGTGTAGTGGAGAAGAGAAAGTCAGTGGGCCAAGAGTTCTGATCTTCAGTCTATTCAAGGAGAGTAAATTGGTAAATGATATGACAAGAGCACATAGTGGGCGGTTCAGTCTCTGAAGTGCTTTAAAGGAGCTGGGGACTTTGGTAATGGAAAATAATGGACTGTGGGATAAGACAAAGCAAGAACCATTATCAAGTACTCTAAGGGAAATTTGTATATTCATGGCACAGCTAAAGTGTTCACTTAAAGCCAAAAGGTGAAAGGAGTAGTCAAAGAGTCTAAAGATAATATGAGATATTTCTTAAAAAGTTTCAAACAGTATGATGGAAGAGATTTGGGTGTTAAGAAAGAGTGGGGAATTAAGTCTGACTGGAAATTTATGGTGAAAGAGTTCAGCTGCTGATTGGTGCCCTGGAAAGCTTGGACTTCCAGACCTGAGTGAGGTAACTGAAGGTGTAAGACAAACAGGAATTGGTCCTAAAAAACCTCTTAGGGGAATTTGGGTAATTTTGTTAATGGGAATTCGTCTCTAAGAAAACAGTAAGAAAAATACTGCCATGTTAGTACAGGAAGTGATCTTGTTTCCCTTAAATTCTGCTGGAGGCCTGTCAGGGGCTGGTCTTACCAAGAGCACACAAGATTTTGAAGGCTCACTTAAATCAGAGGCACACTGAGCTCTGCAGATCTCCTTTACAGATGTGTTGCAGCCAAAGAGTGATGGTCTTACTATTATAAAATTATAGCTTGGAAATGACTGTAAGAAAACCTAAAAGATCATTACTGAGAATTTGATCAGGAAAGAATTCTCAGGATATAATGATATATAGGCTGAGACCTAAAGAAGCACAGCAGTTAGGTGAGTAGGGCATTCCGGGCAGAGTGAGTGACATAAGGGGGTGGAGCACAGGTACTAGATATGCAGGTACTAGATGTATCTGAGATAATGAATGAAGGCTCCTGTGGCTGGAGTCCAATGAGAAAGGGGAGAGATATCTAAGGTAGGGTTATAAAAACCTTCAGAAGCCAGGTTAGGTAAGGCTTTCTAGTTTTGATTTTATCATTGTGTGATCTGATTTATATTTTTTAAAAATATTACTCTGGCTACTGTGTCAAAACCAGTTAGAAGGGTACTGCAGTAGCCCAGCTCAGAGGGAGTATAGGCTTAAAGGGTTGCTAGTGGATATGAAAGCACACAGAATCAAGAGATATTTCGTTAGAAGTCATCAGGAAAAACTTGATTGTATGGTAGTCACAGCATAGAGTGGCCCCTAAAATGTTTGCTAGCTTTCTGACTAGAGCTATTCACAAGGGTCTAGTTTGAAATCTGTCTACACTTCAAAATGCAGCACTATAGTTATCCCATTTGTACTAATTTTTCTTCCATAAAATTTCTCTCTTATTGAGAACTTAGAATAATGCAATTGCATTCAATATTCCAAATCTTCTCAACCATCTTATCAGTTAGGTTTTAGTTAAACTATGAGGAAATGGGACAAGGGAGTCAAGCCTGGTAAAGTAATTTCCTTGAGACAAAAGCTGCCACTAAAACTCTGGTCTAAGTGATTCCAGTTCTTCCAATCATCCCCTATACTGTAATACTATATTACCTCCCATTTCCCTCTCTTCCCTTCTATCTGAACCAATGCACAGCTTTCTTTTCCCTCATTACCAAATCCAGTGATCAATTCTCAGTCCTCAACTTACTCATGTTCCCTGATAAGAAAGAAGGCTGCCCCCCCCTTTTTTTTTTTGTTATGTTAGTCACCATACATCATCAGATGCCGCCCTTCTTAAATATTTTTCCACTTGGCTTCTGAGATACAACCATTTTCTTTATTTTCCTATTAGCTCACTAGCTATTCCTTCTCAGTCTCCTTTGCTGAAACTTCCCCTTCTTTCTAACTAAAATATAGACTGCAGTAGGGTCCTTCTCTTTTTAAACTATTCCATAACTTCATAAATTATTTCTTCCAAGTCTAAGGTTTTAAATTCTACTTATACGTATTATTATTTCTTTCCAGGTTCTTTCTTGATTTCTTCCTAGTTCTAATAGATAATCCTCAAGTATCATGAACAAAACAGAATTCGTGAACACCTGTCTTTCCCAACTAAGAAAAAGATGTCCAATTGCTCAGGCATAAATCTAGTAAGTTATCCTGGATTTCTCTTTCATCACACACCACTTCCCACTAATCAGCAAGAGGCACCACCTTTAAAATCTGATCAGAATCTGACCGCTTCATGTCACCTTCACTTACTACTGCCCTCATCTAAGACACCATAATTTCTAATCTGGACTAAAAAATCGCTTTCCAACTGGTCTTTCTGTTTCACTCTTGCTCCCATTTTATTTTCTATACAGTATCCAGAGTAGTCTTTGAAAATACCAAGTTTAATCATGTCAGTCTCCTGGTTGATATCAGCCAATCATTACTGTAGTTTCAACATAATCCCAATTCTTTGTCATGGCATACAGGTCCCTACATGACCTAGCCCCACCTCCTCTCTGACCTCATTTTCAACTTTTATTCTCCCTCACTAACTGGATGAAAAATATAGGTAAAATGTTATCACTGGAGGAGGGCTATTCCGTTTGAAAATACAGGGGAATGTGAAAGAAAAACAAGGAAGTGGTAATTGGGGTGAAGAAGGGGTTTCCTTTGGTAACTGATGCTAAAACCATTTTGCCTTCCAGTATTCAAGCTTCTACTCCACAGGCCTTGGTTTGATCTTTGAAGAGAACTTCTCAGCTAATATCTCAAAGTTGTAGCCAACAAATTAAGTGATTTGACAGTTCTCAACAATGGCCTCCCCTTGCTTGACCATCTCTGACTCACCTGAACTCTGACTTCTTGTCACATCCTGCACAACCTTCCAGGGCTCTTTCCCTTGCTTCAATAAGGAAAGCACATCTGCTCTAGAAATGGAAAATCCTGCTTAAAAGAATGGAAAAAGATATGATTATGCTCTGCTTGCCCAGAATTAAAATTGAGTCCACTGTTCATCAAGTAAGAAGGTCAATCACAGAAAGACTGGGGGGCGGGGAGGGGCACCTGGGTGGCTCAAAGTTAAGCGTCAGCCTTGGGCTGCAGTCATGTTCTCAGGGTCCTGGGATTGAGCCCTGCATTGGGCTCCTTACTCAGTGCGGAGTCTGCCACTCCCTCTCCCTCTGCCCCTCCCCCACCTCGTGCACTCACGTGCTCTCTGTTACTCTCTCATTCTCAGATAAATAAATAATATTTAAAAAAAGATTTAGATGAAGGATATGTGAAGAACAGAGAAGATAAAGGTACTCAATGGAACTGTCCATTTTAAAGTCTATAAGCCACAAATAACTTAGTTGGGACTAGGGTTCTGAAATTCAGCTAGGTAGTTGAAATATTTCCCAAATTTCACAAAGACTATAGTCGAATTATTGGGACCAGACAAACTTACCCAGTGAGACCAGGTTGCTATAGTTTTCCAACATCACATCTCTGTACAAATCTTTCTGTTCCAAGTCCAGGCACTCCCACTCCTCCTGAGAGAAGTCTACGGCCACATCCTTGAACAACACCAACCTCTGAAATGACAAGCCCAAGTGTTAAAGTCAAAATAAAGGAATATTTTTCAGAAGTAATGAGAGGAGCGTACACACACACACACACACACACACACAGTAATAAGAGGAGGAGAAAAGTATTACATAAAGGGGCCAAAACAGTGAACAAATATGTTGAAGCTAACATGGGTAGGTAATGTGGGTAGGTAATAGAAGGGAAGTGAACGAGGAAATACAGAGCACCTAAACAATTCCTCAACATTCCTATTACTCTATCACATAGCCTCTTGGGAACAGCAATGGGAATGAACCAAAGCCAGGTAAGTGTACTTTTGTGATTAAATGAAATAATGTGTACTAGCATATAACACATGCAAATCCTCAAATAAATTCAAAGTTCCTTCCTCCCCTGTCCCTTTAAAGAACTGAAAAGAGAAAGAAAAGGAGGGAAGGAAAAAAAGGAGGGCTGGAAGGTGAAAGGGAGGAAGAGAAAAGAAAAAATAAACCTGATGGGCATATTCCAAAATGTCATTTAAAATGTTCATCTTAGAAAATAAGATTTACACATGATTTTAGAAGTTCTTTCCAAGTTAAGTCTCAGAATAATTTAGTAATAATATTCTTTCTTCCTAGTCCTGGCAAATCCTTTCACAGATACCATTTTTCGAAGCTACATAATATTCCATATTATGATTGTAATCATTTTATTTTGCAATACTTTGCACTCCTCCTCTAACATCCTTCACAGCTCTGTTTCTAAAATCCTCAACCATTTAATCATCTGGCTGATCATATTACCACTTACCATTGCTCACTGTGCTTCTGCTTATTATGAGCAACAGAAAGCTAATGAAAGATGAGCTACCCTCACACAGATGTGGCCCTTGACCTATTCATACTATTCAAATTCAAAATGGACCTTGTCACTGTATTAATTCCTGACACAATTCTCTCTCTCTCTGTTCTCAATCCTGCATTTGATCACATTTCCAATCTTAAAAGCTTCACAGAACAGATCTCACCACATTCTGAGACTAACACCAATTTCCATCTTAATCCATGAGAAAATCCAGGTTAATGAGAAAGGCCAAGTTTTTCACGTGTAATACCATCTCATCAAACCACATTCTGACAGGAGAGGTCACTCAAACACAATTCGTGATTTACAAATGGATCCCTAAAACACTGTTAGAGAAGAGAAGGGCAGTTGAGAAAGACCTGGGACTCATTCCCATCATTCACTAGAATGAGAGTGAGCAGGAGAGCAAACACTTGGTGAAGCAGAAAATCTAGAGATGAGAATACTGAGTATTCGTATCCTAGGAAACAATGACTGTGGGTGGCTGGGTGGCTCAGTTGGTTAAATGACTGCCTTCAGCTCAGGTCAGGATCCTGGAGTCCTGGGATCGAGTCCCGCATCAGACTCCCTGCCTGACCCTCCCCCCCTCATGCTCTCTCTGTCTCATTCTTTCTCTCTCAAATAAATAAACAAAATCTTAAAAAAAAAAAAAACAATGACTGCTTGATATAAAGGGGAAGAAGAAACATGAACTCACACAAGGCATGGCTTAGAATTGCAACTTATGAGTCCTCCTCTGGCTTCTCCTCATGGAGAAGTGCAGTCCTGAGAAGACAGGGAAGAAAAAAGAAACCATGAAAAGAGGCCTACTTCTAAATGACTTAAGTATTTCCTCCCCTTTTCATGGTGCCTGGACCCTTCCACACCCAAAAATACATACTGAGATCTGCAGAAGCCTAAACAATCTCACCCCTTCCCCAATTCCAGAAAACAGAGATGTAGAAGAATTACTTTATGCTAAAGCAGTACCCAATCCCCATGATGTTGTTAGGGTTCCCTGACCTGGCCTTAGCAGTTCATCTTTTATAACCTAGGGGACCCTGATCCAGATTTATCCAAGTGGTTCCCACCTCAAGGACACTGATGGGGCCCTCAGGCTTTGAAATCATCTGTTATCTATGTAGGCCAATTCCTAGGAAAAACACTTTCCATGACTAAGATCTTAACACACTATTTACCTCAAGTGCTTCCCTGGTTCATTCTCACATTCCACTGCAAGAAAGCATGCTGAATGCAAAGCACAGGCTTCATCTAGGCGACATAAAGTCTCACTACACTCACCCAGTAACCAAGGAACAAATCCAAACACTCTCTAACAGAAAACAACTGCCTATTGCATTGAATCATGGCCTTAGCTGAATTCAGGAACTCTGGAGGCAGTACCTCCCTATAATACTGCTTAACATCATTCTGTCTCTAAATGTCAGGCTAAAGATGGTTTAAGACAGTGGCTGTACAAGAAATAATTTCCACCGAGCACATACTATGTGCTCGATGCCTTATACACATTAACATTTAATTGATGAGCAAACAGGTCTGTGAATTTAACCACCACCACCATTTTCCACTCCACCAGCTCTAGCATCTTCCTTACATTTCTTTTTCTAACAGCTTTGCTGACATATAATTCACATTTCATAAATTCATACTCTTTAAAATACAAGTGAATGGTTTTTAACAAATTCACAGAGATGTGCAACCATCACCACTATCTAATTTTAGAATATTTTCGTTATCCAAAAATAAAACCCATAGGCATTAGCAATTCCATTCTCATTTCCCCAGATCCTGGCAACCACTAATCTACTCTTTGTATCTATAGATCTACCTATTCTAGATAGACATTTTGTATAAATGAAACTACAATCTGTGTCTTTTGTGACTAGCTTCTTTCACATACTATAATGTTTCAAGGTTCATCTATGTTTCAGCATGGACCAGAACTTCATGCCTATATATTGCCAAATAACATTCTGATGTATGGATAGAGCATCTTTTTGCCCCATTCATTAGTTGATGGACATTTGCATTGTTTACATCTTTTGTTCCTATAAATAACGCTACTAAGAACATTTAGCTACATATTTTTGTGTGGACATATGTTTCTTTTCTCTTAGATATACCTAGAAATGAATTTGTGGGGTGATATGGTAACTCTGTTTAACATTTTCAGGGACTGCCAAATTCTGTTCCAAAGCAGCTGCATCATCTTACAATTCCAGCAAAAATCTGTCAAAGTTCCAGTTATTCCACATCTTCACCACCTTTTGGGGTTATAGTCATTCTTGTGAATTTGAAGTGGTATGTCACTGTGATTTTGATTTACACTTCCCTGATGATATTGACCATTTCTATCCCTTCTTTGGAAAAATATGTTTTCAAATTATTTGCTCATTTTAAAAACCTGGTTGTCTTTTTATTGTTGCCTTGTAATAATTCCTCATATATTCTAAAATAGAATTCCTTTATTGAACATACAATTTGCACATTTTGGTCCCATTTTGTGGGCTATATTCTCCCTTATTTCATGGTGTCTTTTGAAGCTCAAAAGTTTTTAAGTTTGCTAAAATCCTACTTATATTATTTTTGTTCCTTTGGTTGCTTGTGCTTTTGGTGTTGTATAAAAGAAACCATTATCTAACCTAGGTAATGGAGATCTCCTTTGTTTCCTTCTAAGAGTTTTAAGGTTTTAGCTTTTTTCTTCCTCAAGTTTTTATTTAAATTCCAGTTAGTTAACATACAGTGTAATATCAGTTTCAGGTAGAGAATTTAGTAATTCATAACTTACATACAATACCCAGTGCTCATCACAACAAGTGCCCTCCTTAATACCCATCACCCATTTAACCCATCCCCCCACCTACCTTCCCTCCAGTAACCATCAGTTCGTTCTCTATAGCGAACAATCTGTTTTCTAGTTAGCCGCTCTTTTTCATTTTTTCCATGTTCATCTGTTTTGTTTCTTAAATTCCACGTAAGAGTGAAATCATATGGTATTTGTCTTTCTCTGACTTATCTCAATTAGCCTAATACTATCTAGCTTCATCCTTGTTGTTGCAAATGGCAAGATTTCATTCATTTTCATGAATGAGAAATATCCCATTGGATATATAAACCACATCTTCTTTATCCATTCATCAATCAGTGGAGATTTGGGCTCTTTCCCTAATTTGGTTATTGTTGATAATGCTGCTATAAAGAGTGGGATGCATGCATCCCTTTCTTTGAATCAGTGTTTTTGTATCCTTTGGGTAAATACCTAATAATGCAATTGCTGGGTCATAGAGTAGCTCTATTTTTAACTTTTGAGGAATCTCCATACTATTTTCCAGAGTGGCTAAACCAGTTTGCATTCCCACCAACAGTGTAAGAGGGTTCCGCTTTTTTCACATCCTTGCCCAACACCAATTGTTTCTTGTGTTGTTGATTTTAGACATTCCAACTGGTGTGAGGTGATATCTCATTGTAGTTTTGGTTTGTATTTCCCTGATGATGGTGATGTTGAGCATCTTTTCATGTGTCTATTAGCCATCTGCATGTCTTCTTTGGAAAAATGACTATTCATGTCTTCTGCCCATTTCTTAACTGGATTATTTGTTTTTTGGGTGTTGAGTTTGATAAGTTCTTCATAGATTTTGGATACTAACCCTTTATCACATATGTCATTTGCAAATATCTTCTCCTGTTCCATAAGCTGCCTTTTACTTTTGCTGATTGTTTCCTTTGCTGTGTAGAAGGTTCATTTTGATGAAGTCTCAATAGTTCATTTATGCTTTTGTTTCCTTTGCCTCAGGAAAACATGTAAGAAACTGCTACAGCCAATGTCCAAAAGGTTACTGTCTGTGTTCTCCTCTAGGATTTTGATGGATTCTTGTCTCACATTTACGTCTTTCATCCATTTTGAATTTATCTGTGTGTACAGTGCAAGAAAATGGTCCAGTTTCATTCTTTTGCATGTGGCTGTCCAATTTTCCCAACACCATTTGTTGAAGGGACTGTCTTTTTTCCATTGCATATTCTTTCCTGCTTTGGCGACAATTAGTTGACCATAGTGTTGAGGGTCCATTTCTGGGTTCTCTATTCTGTTCCATTGGTCTATGTGTCTGTTTTTGTGCCAGTACCATGCTGCCTTGATGATTACAGCTTTGTAATACAGCTTGAAGTCTGGAATTGTGATGCCTCCAGATCTGATTTTCTTTTTCAGCATTACTTTGGCTATTTGGGGTCTTTTCTGGTTCCATACAAATTTTAGGATTGTTTCTTCTAGCTTTGTGAAAAATGCTGATATTTTGATAGGGATTGTATTAAATGTGTAGATTGCTTTGGGTAAAATAGATATTTTAACAGTATTTGTTCTTCCAATCCATGAGCATGGAATGTTTTTCCATCTATTTGTATCTTCCTCAATTTCTTTCGTAAGTGTCCCATAGTTTTCAGAGTATAGATCTTTTACCTCTTTGGTTAGGTTAGGCTTATTTCTAGGTGTCTTATGGTTTTTGGTGCAGTTGTAAACGGGATTGATTCCTTCATTTCTCTTTCTGCTACTTCATTGTTAGTGTGTAGAAATGCAACAGACTTCTGTGTGTTGATTTTATATCCTGCAATTTTGCTGAATTCCTTTACCAGTTCTATCAATTTTTTGGTGGAGTCTTTTGGGTTTTCTACATAGAGTATCATGTCATATGCAAAGGGTGAAAATTTGACTTTTTTTTTTTGCCAATGTGGATGCTTTATATTTCTTTTTGTCTGACTGCTTTGCATATATTTTTTTCCTACTATTTTCTGTTAAATTTTTTAAGTCTTAGATTTTTTTTCTGTACCAGCATCAACATGTATCATTAGAGGAGGATGTGAGATTTGGGATAACTTCATAGAAATCCCAGTTCAAGGGCATTTTCTTCTTTGATACTGTGATGTGCAATGTTCCTAGTAATAGACTCTTTTTTGGGAGTAGGATTTTGTAAGAGTTTTGACTAATTACAAAGTTAGAGAGCACAATCCCTCCGAGACTACCCTCAACTCTGACACGAACTATAAGCTCCCCAAACCAACTAAGGCAAATTGAGAGTTTAAAACTACTCTCACGTTCAAAATTCAGGATTCATAGCTATTCACTGAAAGCTATTATGCTCACAGTTACATAGGAAGTTGTTATATGAAAAAAGATACAGATTAAAATCAACTTAGAGAAGAAACACATAGGGCAAATTTCAGGAGAAATACCAAACATGGAGCTTCCATGTCTTTTTCCATGGAGTCAGGATGTGTTACTCTCCTGACATCAATGTGTGATGAAATGCATGGAGTACTGCCATCCACGGAAAGTCACCTGAGCCTCAATTCTTGAGTTTTTATGCGAGCTCCAGATGTGGGGATGGCTCATTAATTGACTATGTCATTGATCTGTCTCCAGGTCAATTGATATCCTGTGATCCAAAGCCCCCACTCTTGGTCACACTGTTGTCCTTTCTCACATGGCCAACCATTACCCTAACACTATACAGGTGTGGCCAGTCCCTACCCTACATCACATTGTTAGATTATACTGTGTGACCTAAGGCTTCCAAGGAAACAAAGACTCAGGCATCACATTCCAAGGGCCCAGAGATTACCTCCCAAAAGTACTAAAATGACCAGACCTCTCTTTGGCAAGGCCAAACTCTTGGCTACATAAATTCTGTCACTTCTGAATCTGTGACATTCTTTTGGTTCTGAAAAGCATTTAGTTTCCAACACTTGATTCCTTTTTTCCTTTCACTATCATC